ATCCTCTGACAAAAGCAGAAACAAAGACCTAATTGGAGGGGGTGCAAGAGAGACTGGAAGGAGAGGAATTGGAGACAATGAGTATTAGACACCTCTATTGAGGAATATTCCTATTAAGTAGGGAATGAAGTGGCAGGTGGAGGGGGATGCAGTGTGTGTGTGTGTGTGTGTGTGTGTGTGTGTAATATTTGAATATATTTACAAATATAGATTTAAGATGAGAAAAATCACGTTATTATGCTGATAGGAAAAATTCAGTAGACAAGAAAAAAAAGATGCAGGAAAGAGGACAACTGTAGGAATGATGTTCTAGTTTATGAACAGGATCTAATACACCAGAGAGAAGCTGGTCTTAGATAAGAGAACAAAGTGTCAACCACAGTAGCAGGAAAGAAAGGAAGAGCACAGGGACAAGATGCACGTAGGTGAGTAGTTACCTTCTGGTTGCTTTTATTTTCCTGTTACCTAGGAAACAAGGTCACCAGCTGAGTAAGGACTGGGATGAAGTGCTGGAGGTTGAAAAGACAGAAGCTATACAACAGTACCTTAGGAGACTGGGACAACGACTGGACTAGGGAAACAAATGCCTGAGGTTAGCAGTCAGGGATTTAAAGTGGGACTAGTCACTGTGGCTCTGTTTCCTGCAGCCACATTTAGCTGCATGGGTACAGGAGCGGAATAGACGAGTTAGAATGTTTTTTTGTTTCCAGATGCTCTGGTTCCTTTACTGAAGTACTGTATTATATTAAGAATATGCCACGGTTTATTAACCCATTCACTTACTGTCAGACATTTATGTTGTGTCCATATATTTACTATTTCAAACACTGCTGCAATAATCATCCTTGTACATGTCTTTGTGCTCACATGGGAGTACTTCTACTCTACCACATAGATCTAGAAGTGGAATCAATGGGTCATCAAGTGTGCTTAACTTCAATTTTACTGGATATTACCAAATTACTCCCCCAAATGATTATACTAATTAACCCTCTCACTAGCAGTGTATAAAAGTTCTCATTTTCCCCCTGCCAGACTTCTAACTAAATTTTTTGCCAGCCTAATGGATATGAAATAGTATCTCACTGTTTTGCAGTATTCTGATTTCAAGATTGAACATCTTTTCATTCTGAAAAACTAGCCTTCTTTCTCTATCAACACATCTCCACTATACTGCTAACAAGACTATATTAAGTACCTATTGTGTGCCTGGCATTGTGATAATCAAGGGAACAAAAAATGTTAGCAAAATAGATGTGGACTCTGCCTTCCTGGCACTCACAATCTACTGTAGGGTGGGGAGAAAACAAATAATCAGAAATACAAATTGTGGTAAGGTGAAGGACATTAACAATAATCCATGAAAATTTAAAAGGAGACCAATTTAGCCAGGCAGTCATTAAAACCTTCCCTGATGTGACATTTGCATTTTTAACAGGTAGGAATTAACTATTTCAGTATTTATAAAAGCCCACTGCAGCTATAAAGAACCAAGCATCACCAGCATCAATATGCCTAATAACTGCAGAATTGTTTTATTATCCATGCTGGCACAGAGAAGTGCTAGATGCTCTGGCAGACACAGTGCCTACCTTGGGGCCCTTCCCCACATACACCCAGGCACCAGGAGTAGGACACTGGTTTTCTCTTGTTTCCCTTTTGCAATTTGGAAGCTATTACTCCTGCACTATTGTAACTAGTTTATTCTTGCATGAATCTCACACCTGGTTATACTTACCTATACATGCTGACCCAGTAATCCCATTTTGGATATTTATCTCATTCTGGATATTTTAAGAAAAAATTCTATAGAAAAAAAAAGTGGGGGTGCTTAAAAAGGTGAAAGTATTCAATGTCATTATAAAACCAATGCCCCAAACTATCCAAATATTATTGCAACAGTAGGGAGTTTGTTAATGGGATCATGAGACTGTGTAGCAACATGAAAAATATTTGTAAGAAAGTTTTTTATTTAAGGATGAGACAAGATTTAGGCAAATGCAAATAACTTATATATTAAAGTGTGAGGGTGTGGGTGAATCTGGGGGACTTAATTTACTGAAACAGTCAAGAAAAACATTCCAAGGCCCTTCATCATTTTGCTTCCACTTGGTCTCCCGTCTAACCTATCACCATATCCCTTCATCCATTCACCCCCAAACGACACTGTGTTACATGCATCTCTTTGAACATAGCATGGCTCTGGAGACATGAAATTTAGAGGTTAAGAGCTCTGCCTTTGCAGCCAGGCAGTTCTGGGTTCCAAGTCTGAATCTGCCATGGGCAGTACTTTACTTCTCTGGGTTTTTCTCCCCATTATAAAACAAAGATATAATACATGCATTAAGTTTCTTTAATGCAAGCAACAGAAATATAAGAAAGGGGGACTCATTCAACTGATAGTGGGGAGCCCACTGAATCCCAGAAGAGCTTCAGAAATTGAGCCCAGTCCAAGGACCTCAGGAATGAGAAATGAGAACACCATCATGGCGGCTGCATCCTCTCCTGCTACAACAGACCTCCCCGCTCTGGTAAGGAATCAGGCTCCAGGCAACTTTAGGCCTTCACCTTACCAGCCTAGCAACCTCAAATTAAAGTATCCTTGCTAAGTCTATTTTGAAAAAATTCTGTCAAAGGACTCTGATTGGCTCAATTGTTCCTGGAACTATCATTGAGCCCCAGGATGTCCTGACTCGTGTTCCTGTGGTCAGTACAGCAGGGATTGTTACAAGAGGAAGAGTGGGGAAAAAGTTGGGCAAAGACAAGACACCACAAGACCTATTAGGGAACCTGTAAGGATTAAATGAAATGATGGCTATATAGTACTTAGCACAATGTCTTTCAAGTAGTAAGCAATCAATAAATGCTATTAACTCACCTGGCTGTGATGAGTTTAGCAGTTAATCCCTCTTCCTTGATGCACCACTCTTTAATCTTAGCCAAGTTCTGAAAATGGAAAAAGACAAACTGACTCCCATTCAACTAAGAAGGCTATTTATTGAAATAATACAACAATGTTACAAGGATGTATTTCATATGGCCTAGAAGCTGGGTGTTCATTAAGTGCATGGTGCATGGTTGCTGGGACTAGAGAATCCTCTGCTCAATCAGCCATACATACATCCTGGGCGCCCTCCCTGCCAATGATGATATGCTGAGATTCAGAGACTGGTTGGATCTAGGCCAGGCTGCACACACAAACCAGTGGTCTCCTTTAGGTCTTCTGGAACTAAGTCTTTATAAACTTCCACAACAGCTGCGTAGCACTCAACTGGTTACAATTCATGCCATTCTTGCAAACAGTCCACTATGGGGATCCCCAAACAATCAACAGAAAAATGAGTTCCTGATAGGCATCCTAGCCAATCAGTAGAGGAGGTTCCGAGTAGAATTGCCCATTGTCAAACTATGTATCAGACAACACAGGCACGGTCTTGGCATTGTGGCGTATGCTAAGCGTGGAACATCATAAACAAGGTATTTTTGAATGGTTAAAGTCTCGGAAGGGCAGATCTGCTATAGAGCATCCCATCTTGCTCCACATACTACAAACTCACTGGGCTGGACTTCCCACATTTCAGGCCCCAGGCACATTTTTCCAGCAGAGAATTACAAAGGATGTTTGGGAGCTGCCTCATGTTGTCCAGAATGAGACAAAAATGATGGATCCTCCCACCTGGCATGCAAAGAAGCCAGTAGGAAAGGTTCACCATCAACACCACCCCATATCACTCCTCCCCAGGATTCATCATTAGGGCAGGAACATTTGCTTATCTTGGGGGGAACAGAGGCTCTTTCATGAAAAGGGTCAATTTCTACAGTTGCTTCCAAATTTCTCTGCACTACTGGTGCCAATGAACGAACAAAGATTCTGGAAATTCCTTTAGAATAAGCCATGGGAGGCTTTAGGGGATATTAAGGATTAGAGTGGGCTATTGAAGCTTACCTCACGCTTTACTGATGGAAAGTCACCACAGAGCCATAAAAGTTAATTTTTTAATGGTGAAAATTTCCTTGGCACACAAAATGACCCACTACATGATGATTGCCTAAACTGATTTAAAGGCAAATTTTATGGCAATGGATAATTGGATTTATACTTCTCTACAGTAAAATTAATTTGAGGAATTTTTTTTTTTTTTGCGGTACACGGGCCTCTCACTGCTGTGGCCTCTCCCGTTGCAGAGCACAGGCTCCGGACGCACAGGCTCAGCAGCCATGGCTCACGTGCCCAGCCGCTCCGCGGCATGTGGGATCTTCCTGGACCGGGGCACAGAACCCGTGTCTCCTGCATCGGCAGGCGGACTCTCAACCACTGCGCCACCAGGGAAGCCCAATTTGGGGAACTTTTTTTCTCTTAGTTTTGTGTTGTTTTCCCATTGATCAAATCAATACAGGAAGCTTGGGGCAGTGCTTTTTCATGGGAGGATCACGAAAAGCACAGTAGGAAGACTTATTAATTCTATGAAACTGACATACCTTAGCTGAAGTATGATATTGGGAAAAGAAAAAAAGTCATTAGTAGTTCAACTGTTTACAATTTCTGTTAACATTTTGGTTTGTAAGCTTCCAACAAGCTGCTTTAAATAAGTGTGTGACAAATTTGCATATGTCTTGCTGCCTCTTATGCTTTTATGAATTCCCAAAGTATTCAACTCCTGAGCGTTCATTAAATATTTGTGCATCTGATTTATTTTAAAACTTATTTTAAAGCCCTGAATTCCAAAATATCTTTTCAGTGGCAAGACTATGAGGCCAAAGATCCAGGAGACCTGCATTTTCCACCCAGCTTTGCAGCTATAAACTGTTATCATGCTGTGCAACCACTTCACATCTTTGGCTTTCAGTTTCTTCATCTGTACAATGAAGCGGTTGGACCAGCTGATCTCATTCTTTGAATGGTGAATTCCTGGAGGTGAAACTGGTTTCCATGGTAAATTTAACGTAAGAGCTGCAGTTGAATGCAGCTGTCAAGCAATTTAAAAATGAGTTTTGGTAACTACCATGAGAGTTTTATTTATTTTTTAAAAAAGCTGTAAACAGTGAGAGTTACAAGTTAAATTGTTGAAAGTTGGTGATCTCCTGCAAACATATATTCAAAAAATTTACAAAGTCCAATATATAGGCATACCATTTCTAACAGGCTATATGTTTGTAGTTGTTTTTACACACGTCTGTAATCAGATCTGAGAATGTGGCTTTTATTTATTCTTTTCCTTTTTTTTTTTTTTCTCTTATTTGGCTGCACCACATGGCATGCAGGATCTTCACCGACTAGGGATCGAACCTGTGCCCCTGCAGTTGGAAGCGTGGAGTCTTATAACCACTGGACCACCAGGGAAGTCCCAGAGAATGTGGCTTTTATTAAAAAAAACACTGTCTACTAGCACAGAGCTTTCTCCACACACAATGTGCACACATACACACACACAATTCATTACATTCTCAAGCTTTCTCTCCAGTAAGAATCCTCTGATACTGAATAAGAACAATATTTTAGCTAAAGCTTTTGGCACATTCCCTAATGTCAAGGTTCCTAGAGTTTATTTCGTGTATGAATTCTCTGATGTTTAGTAAGAGCTGAGCTTCGACTGAAGTTTTTCCCACATTCCTTACAAGCGTAGGGTTTTTCTCCAGTATGGATTCTCTGATGATCATGCAGATTAGTTTTCTTTCGGAAAGCTCGCCCACATTCATTACATTCATAGGGTTTTTCTCCGGTATGAGTTCTCTCATGCTGAATGAGAGATGAACTCTGACTGAAGGCTTTACCACAGTCGATACATTCATAGGGTTTCTCTCCAGTGTGGGTTCTCTCATGTTGAGTCAGTGATGAGCGTCGACTGAAGGCTTCTCCACATTCATTACATTCATAGGGTTTTTCTCCAGTATGAATTCTGTGATGCTCTATGAAACTCGTACTCCTTTTGAAAGCTTTCCCACATACATTACATTGATAGGGTTTCTCGCCAGGGTGAGAAATAGATTGTTGACTAAAGGCCTGCTCACAATCATAGGGGTTTTCTCTAGTGTGGATCCTCTGATGGTCAGAGAAGTCTGTAATGTGACTGAAGTCTTCCCCACAGTCATTGCAATGATAGGATTTCACTTCAGTGAGAGTGTTTTCATCTTGAGTAAGAGATGAGCTCTTGAAATCTATGCTGTAGTTACTGCTTTGGTACGGTTTGCCTCTCTTATGAATCCTCATATGTTTATAAAGGGAAGGGCTCTGACCAAAAGCCCTCCCACATATGCTACATTCAAAAGGTTTCTCTCCTGTGTGAGTCCTCTCATGCTGGACAAGGGAAGAACACCGACTAAAGGCTTTCCCACATTCCTTACATTGGAAGGGTTTCTCTCCACTATGTGTGACCTCGTGCTGAGTGAGGGATGTGCCATGCCTAAATGACCTACCACACAAATTACATCGATATGGTTTCTCTCCAGTGTGAATTCTCTGGTGTTGAACAAGGGAGGAGCTGCGCTGGAAGGCTTTCCCACAGAGACTACACTGATAGGGTTTCTCTCCAGTATGAGCATTCTCATGCTGACCAAGGGATGAGCTATGCCTGAAGGCCTTCCCACACACATTACATTCAAAGGGTTTCTCCCCAGTGTGAATTCTCTGATGCTCAGTAAGTTGTGTCTTCCAGAGGAAGGTTTTCCCACAGTCAGTACATTCATGGTGTTTCTTTCCAGGATAAATTCCCTGATCTGTACCGTTGGGGAAAGTTCCATCTCCTTTATGAGTTTTCTCATGTTTAGTCAGTGATGACCTATGAATAAAGGCTTTTCTACATTTATTACATTTATAAGGTTTCTTTTTTGCAAGGATATTATTCTGACTGAGTAAGTCTGAATTATGTCCCAAATTGCTCCCAAGTGTATCACATTCATTAGACCTTGGAGGAATGTTCAGTTGTGTAACCAGGTCTGTGTTCAATCTAGAATTTTCAACAAATTTATTTTGCTCACAAGCTTCCTCTGGTGTGATTATTTTCTTCTGGGTGGATGCATCTGGCCCCAAATGTCTCTTCCAGTTTTCCTTGTGCCTCTCTAACTGGCCATTAACATCCCAAGTGTCTTCTAACGTGGTACATGAGGGATCATCTGTGCTAAGGGATACTTCAGATATGCTCTGCTGCAGATTTGAAGATTTGGCTTCAGGCCTGGTCCTCCAGTCTGAAAGAAATCCAAAGTGCAAAAGTCCCCTATTCACTCCTGTTAAAACAAACTGCTACAGGAATGAGGAAGTGAAAGAGATATGTTATACATCACTCTGTTTTGAAATTAGTCCTGTAGCTTCAGGAGAAGACCCAAAATGGAGAAAGGAACAGTGGAGAGAGGTGACAATGCAGACTGCAGATCCAGAGAGAAGAATAAGTCCAGAATGAGGAAGCCCATGTAGGAGGGCTTGTTAGGGAGTAGGGAACAGGTGAGCAAGAGAGAGTTAGGCACAGATACAAATGGAATAGGATCATGGTCTGTCTTGCAGAGTCCTATCTGCTATCCATGCCTCCCGTCCATTTTACAAACTGCCACGGAATCTATCTTCCTAATACATTCATTTCATAATTTCTTTAAAGTCACCTCTGAGGCTTCAGATCTTCAAACCCTGCAGAGAAAATCTGCAGCCAGTGATCTAACTGAAATGATTCTTTGACATAACCCGAGATCAAGGGCTATACTTCCCAGAGAGAAAAAAAAGTACTATTTCAGGAGGCAAATCATCCTTGCCCTTACACACGGAGCTGTGATTTTAGTCTATTTGAGTTCTGATTCTACATTAATCACCTCTCTTAACCAAAAACAATTTATTTTAATCTGCCTAAAAAACCGATCTCTAAACCTCTGTTTAACCTCAGAATACTAATAGCAGAAAATTAATTAATGTCTAGGTTCTAAGAAAGGTAACCTTTTAAAAACTAAGGGGAGGGAGGTTTCTGGAATGATGGAGATGTTCCATATCAACAGAAGTTTTGGTTGGATGGGAGAATGCACTTGTCAAAATCAAATGGATGGTACATATATAAGAGGTATATATTTCACTGTATATAATATTTTCTAAAAAAAAAGAACTATGAACAAATATTGAACTCTAGCCAATGATATACATGCTGAAGCATGTAGGGGTGAAATGTACTCATGTCTGCAACTCACTAGGAAATGCATCAAAGGTAAGACAGATTAATAGATAGACAGACAAAGAGATATGACGAAGTGATAAAGCAAATATAACAACATGTTAACAACTATAGCACCATGGTGGTAGGTATATGGTGTTCACTGTATAATTTTTTCAACTTCTCAAATATTTGAAAATTTGCATAATAAAATATTAGGAGGGGAAAAAAAAACCCAGTAACTAAGGAGCCCTAAACTCCCAAATTCCTTACCCTGGAACAAGACTCAATTCTAAATTTCTGAGGACAGAGAATGCTTTGTACTCCTTTTAGAATCCTTCTCAGTGGGACATTCAAGAAATGTTTGTTGGAATGAATGAATGAGAAAGTTCTCTCCCAGCAAGATTCCATAACAATCAATCAAGTAATTTTCTGACTGCTTTCTACATGCTCTGCAATACAAATAGAAAATATTTAGAAATATAATAAATAGACTCTCCAGGAGCTTAAAATCTAAGAATAAAAACAAGACTCAATCTTTTGATGACTTAATAAAAAACCCATCAGATAGCACGTATTAAATCTGAATTTGTGTGGTAGAGATGATATAAATGGTATTTGTGATCAAGGAAGAAACAAATAAATATATTAGCATATATTAAGTTTTATGGATTAGACAGACCTTGAACTTAAAGAATAGATGGTTTTGGATAGGCACGAAGTATTATCTAATGAGGGAAACTATATGCTACTTACAGAGAACATCAAGAAAAAGTTTAAACTAGGTGGAGCTTTTTTTAGCAGGAATAGAAAGATAATACTGGAAGGGATGATGGGGACCTTTAAATCAAGGGAGTTTCTGCTTCCTATAATGAGGTACAGGGAGTAATAGCAAAGTTCTTTCAGAGGTGGCTGGTTTAGGAAGATAAAGCATTAAAATCCAATATGGTCCATGAAGTGATGAATAGATAAACAAAATGTGATATATCCATACAATAAAATATTACTCAGCAATACAAAGGAATGAAGTTCTAATACATGCTACAACATGAATGAACCTTGAAACATTATGCTAAGTGAAAGAAGCCAGTCACAAAGGGCTACATATTATGATTCCATATATAGAAAATATCCAGAATAGGCAAATCCATAGAGATAAAAAGTAGATTAATGGTTGCCAGGAGCTGGGAGGTATGGGGAATGGAAAGTGACTGCTAGTGGGTATAAGATTTCTTATTGGGGTGTTGAACATGTACTGCTTAGATAGTGGTGATGGCTGCACAACTCTGTACATATCCAAAACAACCACTGAAATGTACACTTTAAAAGGGTGAATTTTATGGTATGTGAATTATATCTCAATAAAAGTATGATTTTAAAAATCCAGTATGGATTACAAAAAGATAAAATTCAGTGAGCAATTTCAACTGGGAATTATAATAATCTAAGTCTGGGGTTTGGTTTAGGATGTCACCAGTCCAAGTTAAAAGGGAGGAAAACCTAAGATACTTCTCAAAGGAGGAAAATAACTTGGGTTGAAAGAAAAAGACTAGACTGACTATGGTGTCTGGCCTGAGGGACTGGAATCCTGGTAATTTCTAATGGGCAAGGGGAGAAATGGATAATGGGCAATGTAGCAAAATGTGCTGACTGGAGATGCAAGATGATTAATCTAGATCTTACACCTCTAATAAGAACGTTGTGGGACTTACAAGTGGAGGGGTCCTGTGAGAAGAAAATAAAAGTGACCAGGGTACAAGTAAGGATGATTCTGAGTCTACAGCACACAATAAAGAGCTGCAACTACCAGAAGGCAGGCACCCTTTTATAGGGAGGTAATATAGAAAGAAAGGAGAGGAAGCCGGAAGGCAGGCTCCTTAAGGTAGATTCACTAAGAGGGAAAAGCAAGAAAAGCCACAGACCCAAAGCCAAGAAGCATTGAATGAGGGGAAACCAGGAGAGGATGATACTCCAGGAACTGTGGAGGGAGGAAATGGACAGGAGTGCAGGACGGAAGGAGGATGGTGTTGCTCGCCAGAAAGGTGGTACAGGAGTGCAGTCAGGGAAAGAAGTCTGGAGGGAGGGAGAATCAAGGTTATGGGTATTTCCTGCAAGTCTGGGGCATTCGACAGTGAAAGCAGCAAGAAAAAACAAGGAGGAGATATGGAAGTTCAATTAATGTCTGAATGAGTAAGAAAAGAGATCTCTAAATAATGAAGGGGTACTGAGGACACCAAAGGAGAAAATAATCCAGAAGTAGGGATATAGGATAGGGACAGATGGTATTCTGAGTGTAGGACAAAGGGCTACTTTCAGAATGGAAAAAGAGGTACCTTTTCTTCCAAGACCTACCAGCAGCAAGACACCCTAATGGAGAAGGGAGACATACAGGTAGGTGTCATCCAGATGGTCCAACCTCTTCTACAGGTCTAGGCGCTCCCAAGGCAGCAATCTGAAGGTGCTTCCCTCTCCCTCAGCTGTGCCATTGTCCTACATGCTTGATTCTCCCTCATTTACCTGGACAGAAAGGTCTTTGGATTTCTCCCTCTGCTATCCATGGCTCTTCTCCTTGCTCCAATTTGAAGATCACCTCTGGCTTGGAAACTTGATATCCTGCTCATGGGTAAATACACAAGATTTGGTTGTTTGTGCAAGTAGACAAAGAACCCTCTACAAGTCAGTATTAGGCCTTGATCCTCAGGAACTCTGAAGGGAAAAAATGGTGCAACTTGAGGAGTCATGCAATCAAATGGCCTATTTCCAGTTCTGCAAAAGAAAGACCTTTTACCTAAAGAGCAGGCTCAGAAACCCATAAAGCTGGGTCCCAGCAAGATGAACAAGCTCTAACCCTGTACACTCTGCTCACAGTCACCCAAACTATGAGTCCCACAACCTTAGCAACTGAGAAAGGAAAGACCCACCAATACATAGACAATGAGATGTGGTCCTTACCAAGAGAAACCAAGTGGCTATAGTTCTCCAGCATCACATCCCTGTACAAGCGCCTCTGAGCGGGATCCATGTGGTGCCATTCTTCCTGGGTGAAGTTCACAGCCACATCTTTAAATGTCACCGATTCCTGTAGGAACACATTCCTGCTCAAGTAGGGATCAACCCCACAAATGTTCCCATGGCAAAACTGGGAACCTACTGTAGGGTCTATCACAAATGGTGATCACACGTGTGATATCCTGAGGGGGCAATGTTGGGTTAAATATACTAGTTGTTACACAATTTTATAGAGAATCTAATATGGCAGGCAGGAAAGTCATGAGGGGCAATGTGTCCCGCAATCCTGTAAGCCTAGTTTTCTTCTTGTTCCCTTCAAAGCCAAGCCTTTCCTATACAATCACCAATTCCTCACTGCCCATTACAAAACCCAAATACAGCAGGGAATAAAAAGTGACAGCCCTCCTTCACCCCCATCACCAATCCCACACAAACTCCCTACAAATAACCATTGTTAACAGTTTGGTGTATACACTTAACAGTCCCTTTCCATGTTTCACACACACACAGTCTTGTTTTGTGAAATATCATATAAATTGTTCTACGTTCTGCTTTTCACATTTAGCTATGTATCTTGGAAGTCTTTCCTTAGTGCTATGTATAATTTCACCTTATTTCTTTGAATTGCTTCATAGCACCGCAGAGTACAGCTGTACCATAAGACACCCATTGCCTAAAACCCATAGCACCCCACTGTACTAGTAACAAGATTCAAACTCCCCCATCACTCACTGGGCTCTGGCCATGCTGACCTTGCCCTGAATATATCAAGCCTGTTCCCACCCTGGGCCTTGGGATCGCGACATGGTTGACAATCAGTCAACCTAAACCACGTTTAGGTCTCAGGTCCAGGATCGCCGCCTCAGAAAAGGTGTCTTAGCACCTCCTTCTAATTTACTATGCATCATATTACCATGCTTAATTTTTCTCCTAAAACAGGTATTGCTCACTGTCCAAATTCCTGCCACCTTAACTCAGGAACCAAATAGATTCAGCTGAAAAAGGACACTTGTACTTCTAATCGTTATGAGATTTGTTAGCTTTTCTGTCTCCCCAGTTGCAAGTCCCGTGAGAATAAGGACTTTACCTATCTTATTCACAGCTATATGCCCCCCAGTGCCTAGACCGATGCCCAGCACATAGTGGATGCTTAGAAAAACTTGGTGAATGAATAAATGGACCAGTTCTTTTTTTTTTTTTTTTTTTTTGCGGTACGTGGGCCTCTCACTGTTGTGGCCTCTCCCGTTGCGGAGCACAGGCTCCGGACGCGCAGGCTCAGCGGCCATGGCTCACAGGCCTAGCCGCTCCGCGGCATGTGGGATCTTCCTGGACCAGGGCACGAACCCGTGTCCCCTGCGTTGGCAGGCGGACTCTCAACCACTGCACCACCAGGGAAGCCCGACCAGTTCTTATTATTAGATATTTGGATTAGTTCCAATATTTTGCTATTACAAACATCACTGCAATACACACTCTTTGTGCAAATATATTAGAATTCCTGTAGGCTAGCTAGCTAGAATTGGAATTTCTAGGTCAAAGATTTTTTCATGCTTTACTCCACTCCAATCACTTCTTCCTCAACACCCACTGAAATTGGCTAAGGACTCTCGTGCCTCTGAATAGTCAGTTCTGATGCTCACAGGTTGATTTCTGTCTTGCCTCACCAGGCCTTGTTAAGCCATGGGACACCTGTCACTATGCCCAACTTGAAATATCTCCTTTGGTCCTGGTTAGATTTCTACCTCAAGAAGTACATAATAAAGTATGTAAAGACAATCAGCATGAAAAGACACTGAAAGCAGAGCCATGAGTTCACTGGAGCAGTGAGGGAAAGTTACGTGAAGGTTTCTACCTCATTCCATGCCCTCCTCCCATGTGCTTAGCTATAGCTGAATTGGACTTCTGTTTCCTAGAAGATATAATTCTCTCTCCACCCTCCCATCCGTCTTTCCCTTGCTAATTCCATACTTCGGGTGTAGGTTAGCAGATCTTCAGTGAGGTTTTCTGATCCCCCAATGGAGGGTCAATCCCCATATCATGTGCTTTAAGCCACTTTGCACATCCACAATTGAAATAGACCTAATAATCTACTTAATGCTTGTTTTCCTAGTTAGATGGTGAGCATCGTGAGAGCAGGGACTCTACTTTTCCTTTTTTTTAAACTCTAGAATACCAATGTCTAGCAAGTACCTGACCCAACACTAAATATCTGTTTCCTGACTGAGTTGAGCCTTAAGGAGATAGCTGAGATCTGAATTTTAGAGAAAAGGAGAGTGGCCCCATCTCCTACTGGGTGAGGTGCATGATTGCATCCGTACACAACAGTGCCTCCTCCATATCACATTTCTGCTCAACACTGCGGCTGTGTCCCCACAAGAACAGAGAAGGGTTGAAACGTGGCAGATTTTTCTGACAGAGGTCAGGGATCTGACTGTGCCAGGTAAGATGATACTAGATGCTAAAAAAAAAGACACTAGATATTTACTAGGCGCCTGGCTTTACCATATGCACCATGGCAGAATAAAAATGCAAAAGAAAAACACTGCAGTCCTTGAATAGGTTTCAGTTTATTTTAAAATGTGTTGTTTATTAGAGCACGATATGAGACAATACATAGTAAAGTGGGTGCTACCAGTGTTCTGGGCAGGGAAAACTGGGTACAGGAGAGAAGCTTCAAGGTGGGCTATGCACTGGGCCTTAAGAGGTAAGTACCATTAGGATGGGAGAAAAAAGAGTGGGAATCCAGCCCAGGGACTGAGAAGTTAGAGAAGGGAGGCTGGATTTGGGATGCACATGGCTAACAGAGAAAAGGTTTGGACCAAAGCAGACATTTTAAGTTAGGCTGTGAGAAGTAACACCTTTCCACTCCTACTCTGTCCTCTAAACTTACAGCCCCTTTGGTTTAGGAACACAGAGTTGGCAGCCAATCTGGATTCCTTTGCTTCACTGGTTCCCTGTATTTAACACATGGCCTCCTGACTTTATTCTGCTTCCCCAAATAGGTTGAACTAATGTTAAAGAATGTGCTAACCAGAACAAATGTCTAGTCCAGGCCACTCATTTCTTGCCCTGGCAGGACAAGTAACTTCTGTTCTACTACTCACGGTTCCACCAACTCTTTCCTGTGTACTATCAGAGTCACTTCTCTAAAACAAATTTGATCATGCATACAAACCTTTAATTTCTTCCCACTTTTCCCTATTCTTACTGCCCTCACCCTAGTCCATGCCACCATCACCTCTTACCTGGACCACTGCTACTATCTCCTACCTTGTCTCTCCTTTTCCACTCATGCCCCACCCCTCCCAAGTCTGTCTTCCATATAACTACTAGACTCATCTTGTTAAAACCTTTCAGAGCAAGTCATTCCTTTGCTTAAAAGCCTCCAATGGCATCCCCCCCCCCCAAAAAAAGCCTCCAATGGCATCCCAATTCATCCCAAGTAAAAGCCAAGGTCTTGATAGTAGCTACACAGCCCTTCACAATCTGGCCCCCCACTATCTCCCTGACTTCATCTTGAACCTCATCCCCAACCTACTGCTCTCTTACCTTTACTCACCCTGCCCTCCTTACAACTCCTGGAACGTACCACACATGCTTCTGCCTTGAGATCTTCACTCTGCCTGTTCCTTGACTTGGAAGCCTCTTCCTGCAGATAGGCATGTGGCTCCCCACTCACTTCCTTCCGCTTTTTGTTCAAACGTCACCTCACCAGAGCCAACATCCTCGACCACGCTATATAAAACAGCGCCCCCCCCCGCAACCTTGCACTGTCACTCTCTGTTCTTTTCCTTTTTCATAGTCCTTACACCTGACGTGTCATATTTTATTTGTTTACAGTCTGCATCCTACAGCAGAATGTAAATTCCAGGAGAGTAGGAATATTACCTATTTTCTTTATGGCTGAATCTCCATTGGCTACAAGAGGCTGGGCACATAGTGGGGGCTCCATAAATATTTAATAAATTTTCCTTGAGATTAAAAACTAGACTCCTTAGTGTGAGCTTCTGAGCTCTTCCAACCTAGTCCTCACCTTATTTCTGCAGCCTCAGCTCTAGCTTCTCTTCCCCTTGTACACCATGATTCAGTGTGCAGAACACTTACACCTCCTTGAAAAAAAAGATCTCTTTCTCTTCTGCAAGTGCTGCTTCAAAATGTTCGGCCTTCCCTCCTCTGCCTGCTAACACTCTCCCACCAAGACTCAGTCAAGTTCTCTCCTCAGGGGCTCCATTTCTACCTCCAGGTCTAGGCTAACCCCCACCCCCCAGCTCCCCTCCCTAGGCCTCTCTTCAGCACAGCTCATAAGACACTACCTTATGGCAACTGTTACCTATTGTTCACTGTGCTTCTAGAGGGTCAAGACCTTGTCTCAGGCGCCTTCGAATCTCCACTGGCCAGAACCATTTTGGTACATAATGGACAGTCAGTGGTCTGCAAGATTAAATAGGTAAAATGTACTCTGAGATCCTTGGTGTGAGTTAGCCACTCTGAATCAAATCAACTTTAGGGCATCCAATGCAGGTCACACCTCAGACTGTAATAAAATGATCCAGTGATGTCTTGTAAACACTGCTTACCCTTCTTCCAGATTTAACTGGACCTCATAATCAACACCTTTTAAAAACTAACAAGAAGTATTAAATGTTCCCCTTCCTCATGCTGACATAAAGAGGACCTTGGCCAAATGATGGAGCCCAAAGCAAAGAACTGGAAACAGCACATACTAAGTTAAGAAGTTAAGTGTGTAATATCCTTGGGCAAATCACAGACCTCCTGGAGATCCAATTTTCTCATCTATAACGTGGATTCCCTGAACTGAAGAAATAAGAGTTTTAAGAGCAGAAGGGTGAAAGAGTACATCCAGAAAGGACATGTCCAACTATAAAAAGACACGCTCCTGCAACTCTAGCATATACCATCCCTGCAGGAGAAATCCCCTAAAACTATAACTCAGGAAACTTTGTAGTTTTGCAACTTTGCAAAGCTCAAAACCAGAGCCTGGAAGCTAATGAGTAAAAATAATCTAGTTATTTAAATCACATATTTTTAAATACTGTATTTATACTACAT